ACTTTCTTATCAGGGCGCCCACACCTGAGTACCACGGAAGTTTCGGGTTCTATAGGCCACGGATACAGGAGGAAGGGCTCTGGGTGGCCCACAGCGTCCCTGTGAGCCACCCCCAGGGAACAGGGGAAGATGCGCCCCCGCGTCTGCCCTGTGGAGGGGCCTCCCCGGGAGAGCAGGCAGCAGCGCCACTGCTCCTGAGAGATTCTGGGCAGAGACCGAGTTTCTGTCCACCCTCGGCAGCTCTGTACGTGTGTCCTGTTGGTGCAGGGAAGAGGACCCGAGAGAAGTCATGGTCACGAGAGGCCAGAGACAGGGCCACCCCTGTGCGGACACGGGACAGCTCCCGCTCGTGCTGCAGCCGTCGGTCAGTCAGCAGACGAGCATCGGTTTCTTCCAGGACACAGGCCGAGCACCCTGCACACCAGACCAGAGGCTGTGCCCTCTGTCAGCTGACACGGGTCCGCTACGTCCAAGTGAAAAATTGAGGAGAGTACAGCAAAACTAAAGGAAATGGAAGGACTGAGAAGGCAACAAATTCAAAAGCTGATCCTCTGAAAGCTAGTAAAATGGAAAAATTATTGGCAAAAATAGCAAGTAATACCAAACAGTGAATGCAGAGTAAGCATGTGAGGAGTGTATACCAAACAGGCTTAAATTTTTATGAGCATATTGAACAGCCCAAATGCTGGTATTTTTGAAAAGCTTATTAAATAACTATGTTCAGGAAAAATATAAATTAGCAAAGTGGAGTCTCAAACACTTAAAACCCGAGTAGACCAGAAACAAAATTCAAAAACTTGTCAAAAACCACTTTGGACCAATTTTATAGGCCAGTCATTTGACGCCAAAAATAAATCCCACACAAAACCTTTCCAGAACAAGGAAAATATTCCAAAGCCTTCTAAGTCATTTCATAAAGCCACTTGCTCTTAAATTCTAAAATCTGATCAAGATAACTCAAGTATACACACAGGAAGAAAGAAGTTTTGAGATGAATCTTAGGAGTGAACATCCGGAATCCTGTGATGCCAACGAGGCTGCAGTATGGACGACTGCGACCCCGTGACCTCCTTCCTAGGAGCACAGAGCGACTGACACGCAGCTCTGGGAGCTGGAGGCCGCCTGATGGCCTCACTTCCATTACTTCCATTAGGGACTTTTAAAAAGGCATTTAAGTTAACACTCAGTACCCGTTCCCGATCAAAGCAGACAAACTAGGACCCTCTCCAGACCCAGCAAGAGTCCATTCAACATAGCTACTCTCTTAACGTGATCCATGACACCTGTGTTAAGTCAGCACTCGCCATCACACCGGATAAACTCTACAGTCCTTCCCAAGTGAGGAATAAAACGGGTGTTTCCTGACACCAGTACCATTTCACACCGTCCGTTCTGGCCGCTCTGCCCAGACGGCACGTCAGGGAACAGTCAGTACAGTTGTTACAAGGAAATAAAATCCCACTTGGACATGATGTGACTGGATGTCCGGGCAAGCATTTAGGAGGCCCCCATAAAAGCACAAATCCATACGCTCCTCTGGATCAACAACAACCTCTTACACCGAAGACCGCGTCCCATCCACAAAGCCACAACAATAAAAAGATTTTGTCATGAACTGAAGTAGGAATATGTGATGCGAATTAAAACAGCTAATTTTAAAGCTACTGCTATTAATGCGTTACCTACACTCTTAATTTTATTTAATTTCTACCTTTAATATCACTAGATTTAAGTTATTCCTAGGAGGCTTCCTGAGTAGACGCTACTGCTCTGTTTTCAGAAACGAGAGAATTGGTATGACTCTGACCAGATTCACGACCACTGTGCTCTGAGACGAGGTGGACAAGCTCCAGCCCGGAACGAGACCCTCTGCTCAGCCTTCGCTAAGCAGCCCGTGTTAGGACAGGGACGAAGGCATCTGTCTTGTGAAAAGTGTTATACTTCTGGTGGGCATTATGTGGAGCATCAATCCTCAAAACGATGGTGATTAAGGACAGTAGTGTGGCACACTGGCCTGGTGTGGGCGCCTGCACGGACGCTGTCATAAGCCACTACCTGAGGCGGGTTTTGCAGGCACGCGTACAGCGTACAGCAAATATTCAAAAGGTGTGAGTCCACACGCGTACAGTAAATAGTCAACAGGTGTGAGTCCACCGGGAGAGCCCCGACTGTGAGGCCCGAGGAGTTGACAGGCGTCAGCAGGAAGAGACAGCTGACGGGTCAGAACGTAATAGTCGCCTTTCACTGGGGAGTCTGGGGCCATTTGCAGTTTATATCGAAGTTTGACAGGGCAAGTGTATGCAGTGTGCACTTCCCTTCCCACCTGAAGCGGGCTGCGGACCGCCCACTCGCCCCCGCCCCTCCCAGCGTGCCCCCCCCCCCCCGTGACAGCCGCGCATCTTTGCGGTGCTCTTACCCGGAGCGTGGTCTTAGCGTCTTGGCAACCTCGCGGAGCCTAGTGACGCTAGGAGAACCAGACGGTGTGAGTTCTCATCCGAGCTGTGCAGTGACTCTGGTTAACACTCGACATGCCTGCGGGAAGCCAGACTAACCTCCAGCCCCGCCGCTCAGCTCAGGGGCAGAGAATGCCCACCCGCCTCCGTGTTCTGCACACACAGCCCCCAGATGGGGCCGGCGGTGCGGGAAGTGGGACGGCTGCCCCTGGGCTCCAGGTCAGGAGTGTGGGGGCTCACCCGGCCGTCGGAGGGCCCGCCCCGCCGTCCCCTGCAGACACTGGCTGTTGCCTGGGACTCCAGCGGAGAGTGGCCACGGGGTGGAAAAACTGAGGGGAAAATTCTGACCTTGACCGGCAATGACCGCCACACGACAGGGACAGTCCCCCGACCGGGGCGTCCGTGCAGGCGGCCTGCGTGCAGGGCGAGCTGGCCCGTGAACGGGCTCTCCTGGATGGCGGAGCCCATGGCGCACTGTTGCTCACAGCAAGGTCGTACTTCTGCACCATTGACTCCCTCTAGCTGGCAACCTAATATGTAACATTTTACTGTCACTAATGATATGATTTTATTAATTTAAATGGAACTTGTGTTTTTAAGGGCAAAATCAGGGAGGAGAAATTGCACACTGCATGCAGCCATTCTGCCTCGCTCAGCAAGTAGACTGTGCCCAGAGGCAGGCTGGGGACCAGGCGTGAGCAGTGGGGCCAGGAGTGGGGAGGAGGTCTCCCCTCAGGCACCTGGTGCTGACGGGCCACCTTCGGTCTCCTCCTCTAGAACGTGACCGGTGTGTCCCATCCTTGGAAATAGGAAATAGTGCCCAGATCACTGGCTGCGTCCTACCCAGAGCCTGGGTAAGAAAGGTGCTCCAAGCCCTCTGGGCCTTTTTCCTAAGAATGTGTTTCTGACCCTGTCTCTGGTATGCAGGATCGTTATTTCCTGCTTTTCTGAAATTGTTCCATTCTGTTCATTACTGTGGACTGACTACCACATGAACTTTGTAAAAGATGAGAAGTTTCTGCCACATGAATTGGCATTGATCTATTTGTGAAAAACAAAAAATGAAACTAATTTTAAGCTGTGTGTGCATCCTTACTACACTAAACCTTACTACCCTGTGTCTGTCTGGCTCCTTTACGAGATTCTAACAATTTTGGGAGATAAAGCCCCTCCCACCCCCCCACCCCCACCCCCACCCCCACCCCCGCCAGCAAAGGGCACAGAGTGGTTTCTGCCAGGGATTTCTGTACGACCAGCCCCGTGGAGCGTGGCCGTGTCGGCCGTGTCAGCCGTGCCCCGAACCAGCCTCGGTGTGTGGTGGTGCCAGAATCTTCCTGTAGTTAGAAGTGTGGGACCGCCTAGGAAACCTCACCTTGAAAGGGATTCCCGGTCTGTGAGGGACGGTGAGGGTAGAACCTTAACTCCCCAGATACCCCTCGGCGCGCACAGCAGCCTGCCAGGTGGCCTGGCCGCCACCGTCATCTGGGCGAGGAATCGGGGTGGGCACCGACCCGAGCAGTCCGGCCTCGGAGCCAGGGCTGCTGGGCTGCACCGTGGGCGATGCGACGTGATTCCACAGTGGACGCTGAGGCCCAGCGGTGATGCTCTGCTCACCGGGCAGAACCGAGTGGGGGCGCTGCTCCGGCCCTGGGTAATTAATGCTGGGCATGTGGTGGGTGAGGACAGTCGTGGGTCAGGGCGAGGCACTCCCCGGCCTGAAGGGTGGGGCGGGGTGCAGCAGGGGCCTGAACCCCTGGCTTGTGTGACGGCCCTTTGCTGAGCGGCGTCTGGGGACCACACCCTAGCTGCTGACTCTTGTCACTAGGGGACTTTTAAAGACAAACTGACTTTTTTTTCCAGAAAATACTGTTGTAAAAAACCCTGTTCATAAATTTGCTTTAAAAGTTATTCTTCTGTTTATGATTTTCACATATTTATGATTTTCACATTTTAATGCTAAATAATCACCCGTCAGTAAGAGTACTTCTGTGTCCGAGGACCGACCGTGTGCCAGGGATCTGGGTCATTTCAGTGGCACAGCGGCTGGTGAGTCTGTCCACCCTCCCCGCCCCCGGCGGAGGGGCTGCTGGCCAAGCTGCGCTCAGAGGTCAGGTACTGCGGTAGATGCACGAACGGTCCTCAGTCACCCGTGCGGCTCTCATTCAGAAAGAGAGCGGGGCCCGTGAGGAACGTGGCCTTGGCGGGCCGGGCGGGAGCCCTCCCCAGTCCCCGTAGCTCACAGCGTGCTCTGCGCCCGGGCCGGTACCCCGTCTGCGGGCAGCTGGGAGACACAACTGGCAACAAAAGTATGAGCGGTGATGGTTCTCCCGCTAGAAGGTGAGGCCCCGGGACCCTGCCACACTGCCTGATGTTTAGCCAGAAACTTGCTCTTCTAGAAGAGTCCGTACTTGACACAGACACAAACACAGGAATGTTCCAGACAGTGTAAGCCTCGCGAATTGCTGGTGCTTGCGAGCTTCCTGACCGCCAGCCCGCTGCTTCCCTCCCTGTTTAGCGCATGTTCTCACGTCTGGTGGTCTCCGGCAGGTGGCCCTGGTGCAGTGGACAGAGAGTGTCGGCCTCACGCTGGTCAGCAGAGACCTGGCCTCCATGCAGCTGAGGACCCCCAGCGGCCAGATCCAGACCTACTCTGTCCTGCAGATGTTCCCGTTCACGTCGGAGAGCAAGCGGATGGGGATCATCGTCCGGGTAGGCATCCACGCCGGCGTCCGCTTGCTGACCCAGGCTCGTGCTCTCTCACGGCCGTGCGCTGGGCTGGTGGCTCAGGGCAGCTCTCTTCCAGCGTTTGTTTGCTGCAGTTTTCTTTCTTTACATAAAATCTAAACTAAGAATTTATACTGAGAAGTGAGTGAGGCTCTAATGGTAATGATTTAAAAGGAAGATTAAGAGGGCCCTGGGTGGCTCAGTCGGTTAAGTGTTTGACTTCAGCTCAGGTCATGATCTCACGGTTCGTGGGTTCGAGCCCCGCGTCGGGCTCTGTGCTGACTGCCAGCTCGGAGCCTGGAGCCTGTCTTTGGATTCTGTGTCTCCCTCACTCTCTGACCCTCCCCTGCTCACACTGTCTCTCTCTCTCAGAAATAAATAAAAGACGTTAAAAGAAATTTTTTTTTAAATGTAGATTAAGTAAAAGGTGTTAGCTATTAATTTTTGAAATCCACTGGAGCTATTCGGTCTTGTTTCGGACAGCAGTAGCGTGCCACCGATCTTTACCAGGGGTGAGTTATGACGGTGAAGTTGCTGATAAGCCTCCTATTAAATGTTACTAGCAAATACCAGAGAGGCATCTTGGAAGTTGGCTAACAGGAAAGCTTATTTGATCAAGCGGCGAGAACATGAGAGAACTCACGTTCACCTCGCCGTCCGCGGCGTGCATCGTTAACCGACGTCGTTTCAGCATCCTCAGCGCAGCCTGTCGAGATCTGCAGTTATGGCCTCAGTTCTCGTGGGCCTGAACACCCAGGAGAGCAGGCTGCCCGCACAGAACATGTTTGAGTAGCTCACGACAAGGGAGCACACTCAGGGAGCACTCCCTTTTCTAGCGCATTCCTAGTCACGCACTGTCGCCTGCAAGGCACAGTGTGTCCTCCGTGCCCGTGTGCTTCCTCCCCCCAGGACGAGTCCACTGCAGAAATCACCTTCTACATGAAAGGGGCCGACGTGGCCATGTCCACCATCGTGCAGTACAACGACTGGCTGGAGGAAGAGGTAAGCAGCTGCTCGTGCACGCCGCCACCGGGGGGTCGAGACACCACGGTTTAAACCAGTCACTGACAGGTTTCCAGACCCCGACCTGGGTTTCCACCGAATTACTGTAAGTGATTCCAGTTCCTCTCAATTTCGTAAGGCAGAACGGACGGGGTTGCTATTTAACCACAATAGTTCACTTTCTATATAAACAACTACTAGGTTTAGTTTTTGTGTGAATGCAGGTAGATATATAAGTAGGTCCTTATGAATAACATTTGTTACTAGTAGTGAAAAAATAACATTACTAATCATTCACTAAAAGTTCTGAAATAACATCGCATATATAGCCAGTTACATTTTCATATGTTTACTTTGTAACCTGAGTTATTTGTAAGATTTTAAATAGAATTTTAATCTCATTCTAATCTGTACATATGACTCACTTTAAAAATAGAAAACACTGGGGTGCCCGGGTGGCTCAGTCCGTTGAGGGTCCAGCTCTTGATCTCCGCTCAGGTCATGATCTCAGGGTTGTGAGTTCTAGCCCCACATCGGGCTCCACTCTGGGCTTGGAGCCTGCTTAAAAAAAAAATTAGAGGAGGGGCGCCTGGGTGGCTTAGTCGGTGAAGCGTCCGACTTTTGCTTAGGTCATGATCTCGCGGTTCGTGGGTTCGAACCCCGCGTCGGGCTCTGTGCTGACTGCCAGCTCAGAGCCTGGAGCCTGTTTCAGTCTGTGACTCCCTCTCTCTCTGACCCTCCCCTGCTCACGCTGTCTCTCTCTCCTAGAAATAAATAAAACATTTAAAATTTAAAAAAAAAAAAATTAGAGGGGCGCCTGGGTGGCTTAGCCGGTTAAGCGTCCGACTTTCCCTCGGGTCATGATCTCGTGTTTCGTGGGTTTGAGCCCCACGTCGGGCTCTGTGCTGACTGCCAGCTCAGAGCCTGGAGCCTGTTTCAGTCTGTGACTCCCTCTCTCTCTCTGACCCTCCCCTGCTCACGCTGTCTCTCTCTCTCCTAGAAATAAATAAAACATAAAAAAAAAAATTAGAAAGTTAAAAAAATAAGATACGAATATAATCAATTCTGTATTTCATCAAATTCTCCCTAAAGAAAACAGGATTTATGTTTCGCCTCCTGAGGTTATGTTACTGTGTATGTTTATGTGTCACGAAAAAGTTGGGTTTCTGAGTAAACAGAACCCTCGTGGCTGTCGGCACGGCCGTCTCTGCCATGTGCGTGGTGGCGTCGGTGCTCCTGGCTCACCCCGGCACTGCCCGCACCCCGCACCCCGCCCGCCGCGGCATTGGCAATATGAATCAATAGCTCCTTCAGGCACTTGGATTTAATCAGGCCCATGAATAAATTAAATTCCCTGAAGACCTAGTAAAATGCCATAAAAATTACTTTTGGTCATAATGATGTGCAATTAATTATAAAATACTTGTTTAATTTATTTAGCTTTATGAGGTCAAATCAATAAATGTCTTGCAACAGACAGATAATGTGAGATTGTTTTTCACAAAGATAACTTTATTAAAAATCCTTTGTGTGTTTGTTGCTCAGTGTTGCATTTTCTTCCTTTAGAGAAATCTTTCGCTCCTCCACCCACGTCTTTGCGGTAAAGCTATAACAGTCTGAGAGCCTTTACTTTATTTAAAACATAAGCAAAAAAACCCGGCAGGTTCTGGGAGCCGGAGCGTGCCGTGGGCTCTTCCGTCTCAGGCCAGCTCCCCACACTGGATTCTTGGCCACAGACTTGCATTCTACGATTATTAAACAAAACAGAAACAAGCCTCCAACAGCTTTTACTCACCACATAACAGAAAGAGCCAGTTTTGTCAGGCCTGCCACGTAAGATTATGTGGTGTGCACGGACTCAGAATAACCTGGACACCGAAAGTGCTCAGGCACTGGGCCTCCTCCCTCCACGGGCAGACGTGGAGCGAGGGTCAGAACTGGGGACTGGGGAAGGCGTGAATCGGGGTGTGGTGAGTAGTGCCCTGCTGTCCCCAGAAGACGTGTGAGCCTGGGCGCGGGGGCGGTGCCCACAGTCTGCTTCTCCGTGAGCATCAGACCTAGTCAGCAGCTGGATTAGAAAGGCTCTCAGGAAGTCCCACTAGTTCATACTCTGCGTGTGCAGACTCGGCCGTCTCCGCAGCAGTCATGGCAGGGGAGCTTTGGTAGACGTGAGTGCCCACCCAGAGCGAGCGAGCGAGCGAGAGCGCGCGGTTATCTGGAAGCACCAGCCCGTGCCCTGAAGGGACGGTGGAAGATGAGGCCTGTGCGCGTGGCCGAGCATGCGTGTGAGTCGTGTCTGGACTGCTGATCGGTGAGTGTGTGCACTTGTCCCTGGTGATGCGGGATTTCCACGCACAGAAAGTCGGACACTCAGTCCTGGTGTCCTCAGTGGCCGTAACTCCGCCCGTTTGTGTGGCCTGCGTGGCTCTGTGGCCGTGTGCGGCGCAGGGCGTCCGGGGCGGGGCTGCTGGAGAGCTCTGTGCCGCCCCGCCGTGGATGCCCGGGCTTGGGAGGACCTGCTTTTCTTCTCGTGAACGAAAAAGCAGCTCCGCAGCTCGTCTGGGGGCGTTTGCGGAGATGCAGGACTCCGGTGCCCGGTGCGGTGCAGGGGCACAGCGCGCCGCGGACCTGACTCTGGTCGTCGTCTGGCTGAAACGCGAGGTGCTGCGGACGCTTGGGAGGACCTGCTTCTGACGCCGGGTGCCTGTCCCGGACGGCAGCCAGCGTGCTGCGCCCCCAGCGCCGCCTCCGCCGCGCCCCTGCCCCTCACGCCTCCGCCACAGGGCTGTCAGAGCGGGCCGTGAAACGCTCCAGAGCGAGGGAGCACCGTGGCCCTTTACGTGTCAACCCCGGTGCCCGAAACAGGCTAAACGTGCCACTGGTTAGAGCTTTAAACATGCTCGGGATTCAAAGTAATTCCTCGAAGTTCGAAAGGTGAGAGAGCGCAAGGAAGAGGTGTAGGGCTCTCAAGCAGCAGGTCTCTCAGGAGCCGCCCGCCGCCTGAGGGAGCCTTGGCTGGTGGTAGTGTTCCTGATGTGTAGACGCTGTGGCTGCAGGGGACGGTACAGCGTAGCCCTCATGCTGTTGAAGTTTCGTTTTCATAACAGCACATTACTCTGGGCTGCGGCTTGAAGTTCAGGGCCGGGGCGTGCCTCTGGCCCACCTGGTCTTCAGACTTCCTGTGTCCGTGCCCACCGGCCAAGGAGCCAGGGCCCCGCTTGGCTCCCGGCTCCACGTCTTCTCCCCAGCACCCTTCCTCCCCCGCTCTCCCCTGCCCTCCACGCGCGGGCCGTCTCGGACGTGGGCGCCAGGGACACCATCTGCTTTTGCTCAGCTTGGAGTCTGAGGACAGTGAGGGGCGGCGGCCCCTGCCAAGCTGCCTCGCGCCTGCCGGCCTGGAGCGTGGCCGTGGCCAGACCCCGGGCGTGGCCCGTCGGGGCCGGCCGCTGTGCGCCCTCTGCAGGTGCGGCCCGGCTCCAGCAGGGGATCGGCGTCCGTGGCCTGCGCGGCTGACAGTGACAGGAGAGGCCCCTCACCCGCACGCAGGCGGGCACGCCCCTCCCCGTCCTCACCCACGACTGCCCGGCTTCCCCTGAGGGTGAGGCGCCCTGTCGCTCTGGCGCCGTCTGAGCGGGAGCGGAGGGGGCGCCTCTCCCCACACGGGCTGAACGTGTTTCCCTCGCCTCCCGGAAGCTGGGGCCTGTGGCGGCTCCTCAGGCCCTTTCCTGCCGGATGGCACTAGTCCCGGGACGAAGTCCCGGGCCCTCGGTCTCCTGCCGTGAGACCCCCCTCCCTCCTCCCCTCCTCCCCCCTGCACTGCCACGTGAGATCCCCTCCTCCTCCCCCTGCACTGCCACGTGAGATCCCTACTCCTCCCCCCTGCAC